TACAAGTATTTTGTCATATAACTTCTTCTAAGCTTCTCGTTCAGGCTTTTCGGAAATTTTGTTTATAAATATTACGAAATTGTTGATGTAGTTGTTGTTGCTGCTGCTGGTGTTTGAGAGAAGTGTTCTAAATTGGCTTTTAAGTGCCTGGCACCCCACGGGCAATTAAACGAATTAAGATTGCCCGAATGCTGCCGTTGCAGTTGCTCGGTTGACAAATGATCTGCTGTTGCAACGTGCAACTTGTTGCAACGCGCAAACGGTAAGCGGGCGGCAAGCAGGCGGCGAGGCCTGTGAACGACATCAATTAGCAATGTTTTTAATGCGGTCGCATTTGGCGTGAAACAGCAAAGAGCCGAAGCCACAGAGAGCCAGGCACAGATGCCAGGTAAAATGCGTACGATAGAAAAACGCCTCGAGTCAATCAATTTAGCTGTGTGCGTGTGTGTGTCGAGCGACGCGTATTACAAGGCAGGCGAGCGGCCTGGACTCCGTTTCCCTCCCGCTCGGTGCTAGAGCCAAAAGTGCTTTTGGGCTGGCGCAGCCTTGGACGCAGTGGGGCTGGCAGATTGCGATGTCGATGTCGATGGCGATGCCGATGCCAGATTGGAAGCCATTTGGAAAGGCGGCGCTCGAATTACGCGTTGACTTACGCAAATTTTTGGCTTTTTGTTTTTCTTGGAACGCCGCCAGGCTCAAAGCAGATGGCGATGGAGCTCCGCAAAAGCATGCAGCGACAACTCCAACGCTCTGGCACACCCTAATGCTATCTGCCTTCCCAGAGACTGGAAACAGCGCTTGGATTTTAATTGAAATCTGCGTTGCCTGACCAACAACATCTAACTAGTTTACGCATTCGAAAGGCCCACGTTGTACGGATAATTAAAAACTTGTCGTTCGCTCTGATACTCTTGAGATTTGCTAAAAGGTTTAGTAGCCACGTCGTTAGAAATGCATTTGGATTCATGCGATATTGACAGCTGCTTAACGAGAGAAAGAGAGAGAGGGAGAGCAATAAACAACATTTGAATATGATTGATTAAATTGTATAACTGAGTAAAGCTGATGTATGATAGGAACACGAAAAATATTACATGATAATATTGTTATATCTATATTGAAAAAAAAAGTATAATAATAATTATAAAAGTTCACTATATGGATTCCAAAAACCATTCGGAAAACCATTTTGGCATATTGTCATATTTATACCAAACTGTTCTTCATGCTATATGTAATTTGAAATCAATTATAAATTTGTCAACTGCTTTTTATGATTCATAAAAAGTTGACAGGCTCATAATTCCTCATCGGAAAGACCTGAAATTGTTGTAATAAAGTTGCTCAATCAAATTGTCATTATAACTTTTACGAACTTACTAGAAATGTAAAAGAATAATCAAAAATCAATACAATGAACTTCAATTAAATATTTATGTGCTTATGATTAATATATTTTTATTATGAAATCAATAAATCTTGACTTAACATTTTCAGTAAAATTTAATTTATAATCTGTTAAAAATATATCAAATTAAATAAACTTTCAATTTTAAATCAGTTTAATATCCAAATTTAAATATAAATAAATATCTATACACTTTTTAGAGCATTCAGAGTTCTGCGTGCGGAGCTGCAAAGTCTCGCGTCGCTTTTTGTTTCTATGTTGCCAGCGGCGCACGTTGCGTATACGCAACATTTGTCATAAGACAGTTTTTTAGTCTCGCTGGGATCATTAATTATTATGTTTTGTATGTTTTCTTGGTGTTTCTATTTTATTTTTATCGCCTGTACCATGGAGCAGTCGTCGTTTTTAAGGAGGATGATTTGATTTGATTATTGAGGTGCGTTGACTGTGCGTTTCGATGAGTGGAACTCGAATATATATTTAGACCACCCTCCTGACCGACTGACCAATCGGACCAGTTTATTAAACGGGTTTCACTTCATTAAGAAATAAAAACAGTAAATAATTGTGACGCACTTTCATGTGACGCCCGCCGCACAACATCTAGCGATTGCCCAATTCCAGGGTAAGACGTGACATCCTGCTACTGGGTAACTTAATATACGCACATTGATTGCATTTTATGGCCCAATCTTGGCCACATTTCGCCCCCAGCCTGGCCAGCAAAGTGAGCGGCAAACGCATTGGACACGCAGGCCCAAAACCAACTAGCCAAAAAAGAAATAAGTTTATGTATCCAAGGATTTTAATTATTTGCACAAAAATCTAATTTCCGTCCCAAATATATATATATATGACTGGGAGCCTGCGTTGCTGCGTTGCTGCGTTAACTGATGCAATCGCGCCAAAAAAAAAAAAAAAAGAGAATAGAAGAAGAAGAGGGGAACAGAGGGGTTTAACATTAAAAAAAAAAAACAAAAAAAAAAAAAAAAAAAAAAAAAAATGACCAACTGACTTTTGTTGGGCATGTACGACTAAATAATGCCCTGTACATGACATTAATATGTGCCTTTAAATTATATTTATAGTTTAAAATTTGATAATGAAAGTACGTAATCTATAGACTATATAGAATTTTGGACGAGACTCATCTATGGATATTAATAAAAAAAATTAATAGTTGGATTGATAAAAAGATAGTTGGATGGATAGATAAATAGATAGGTGGATGGACTGAAGGACAAGATAAAAATATATACAGATTTCGTTCAATTTAATATCGTTTCTTTAAACCAGTTGCCTAACGCATTGTACTATTAATTAGCTGCATAGTTACACTTTCATTAGTCCATCCAAATAGAAAATATAATAAATAACAATATATATAGTAGCAGAGGGTATATTAAAAAAATATATATATGTATATATAACGAAATACAAAATTGAGTGCCACGCAAAAGTTAACAACAAATCAAACGCCGTAGTTTGACACAGTTTTTTTTTCGGCGCAGGAGCAGCGAGTGGAAAATCAAACGACAAACGAAATTTATAGAGCGCGTAGCAGAAGAGAGAGACAGAAAGAGAGAGAGAGGGAAGGAGTGAGACGCATAGCACTTAAATGGATGTGGATGTTGTTCGCTCTTGTTGTTGTTGTTGCTATTATGGACCAGTTCGAAGTGAGGTGCGTGCGACGTCGCTCAATCAATGCAATTCATTCATTGAATTCGAAATGGCCAACAGCGAATTGAGACCTGAGCGTCTAGAGCCGCGACGCGAGATCTGAGACTTGAACTGTAACTGTAACTGCAATCGGCAATCGACAATCGGCATCGCCAGCCTGGCTGGCCGGCTGACTATCTGACTAGCTGACTAGCTGGCTGGCTGCCTTTGGCCAAGTGCCTTTCGAGCGGCTTTCTGTTATGGCCAGCCTGCTCGCATAAAGGGGCCAGAAGGCAAACCAAAGTGTTGCAGTGATGCAACAGCTTTCGATGGCGCAGGCTTCAAGTGCGCGTCAAGTACACTCAAAGTTGCACGAATCACAGCAAAAGGCTGCTCAAATATCGACTCAAGAGTTAGCTGAGAGGATGAGAGCTGGAGATTGCAAGAGACTTATAATACAGCGAAATCTTTTTTGGCTTAGTTTTTATGCAAATATTCATATATTTCTTACTCAACTTTTACTTACATCTTTCATTCTGCGCAAATGAAATCTGTTTTATCATAGCTCTAGATACTAGATACTACAGTATATACATATATATTTTTTAGTTTTCTTTTTTTGCTGCGACAGTCTCAACGCGCTTTTTGCTCTGCTTTGGGCCAGTGTTCGCTTTTTGCCAAGTGCATTTTTTTACATTTTCTTGTCCACTTTTGGCACACGCTGCAATGGCTGTGATCGTAAAAAATGCGTTGGGTGCGTATGCAAAAAATTAGCAAAAAAAAAAAAAAAAAAAAAAAAACTCGATACAAAACTGCACAAAAAGTTGCGTTCGGTCACATTTATTGATTTATTGTGGACATTGTGGAGCGCAAAATTTATTACAAATGGAATCTGGGGCTATACGAATCTTGAGAATTGTGTGCGCTTTATTTTTATACCCTAAACCTATTAAAAATGGAAAATCAGGGTATAATGGTTTTGTGAAAAGTATGTAACAGGCAGAAGGAGTCATCGCAGACCCCATAAAATATATATATTCTTGATCAGCACGACGAGCTGAATCGATATAGCCCTGTCCGTCCGTCCGTGTGAGTGCGTCGATCTCAGAAATTATAAGAGCTAGAGAGCTGAAATTTGACATGCATACTCGTGTGTACCATTCGCAGATTTTCGATATCACGCCCTCCTCGCCACCAATTTGTAAAAAACGTATTTCGAATACTAGGGACTTGTGCTATAGATTGTACACACATATTAACTATATGATTACGCTCTGGAAGTTTCATTAAGTTTGTACATATGTCTACAAATGAAATTATTCAACAAGTAAATTCTCATAATATAGCCCACACTGCAGCGCAGTGATTATATGTACATGTGAATGCGTGTGTATGCATGTATGCCTAAAAGAAGTGCAGAATGAGTAGAATATCAGCTTAGAGGGTCCAGGGTATCTCCTAGTCGAGCAGTCTCGACTAGAGCCTTCTTAGTTGTTTTCTTTTTCTTTTTTTTTCTTGTGCGTGTCAGCTGATTTATAGACCGAGCCAAACAAAGGACTTAGGCAACAGACTTTGCCAACACAGAGATTGTATCAAAATCTGCCGCTGAAATCTGTACTTGGGAAGAACAAGCCAGAAAGCTCTAGCTGACTACTCGATTCCCTGAATCACACACGCATTTGCACGCACTCTGCTAACTGCGCAGTTGACAGCGCAGTTGACAGCGCAGTTGACAGCCACTGATCTGTATTATTAGAACTGATTTGTTTCACAAACACCCTTGTATTGTGGATTGAGAACCGGTATCCGAAGCATAACAAATATCTAAACTTTATAAAAATCTATATACGATCCTACAAAAATTTTATCCGCTGTGCTGCGATCTGCATAGCCAATTGAGATATGTGTGCATAAATGACTGGATACTATCTTATTATTGCTGCTGAAGGTTGTTTATTTAGTTAGTTAGCAAGTCAAACACCGCTGTGCTCTCTGATCCATTCACGAACATAGGATACTCTAGCAAATACGGACGGATGGTTAGGTTTTGCGCACGGATTGCCCCAAGACACTACGCCCACCAACATACCGTCCCCATTGACCATGGGACCACCAGAATCGCCGTGACAGGCGCCCTTGCCACCTTCCGAATAGCCAGCACAGATCATGCTATCTGTCACAATGTTGATTAGAAGGTTTTCCTTCCTACACTGCTCCTGGTTGACCAGCGGTAACGGCACCCGTCGCAGCCACTCGTTTGACTCATTAGAGTTCCTTGTGTCGCCCCAACCGCTTACATAACACACTTCACCGTCSTTGAACTCTTGGCCCTGCTTCGGCAGCTTAACAGCCTGCTTGGTCGCATCGAATTCAATTGGTTCCTGCAGCTGCAGCAACGAAAAATCATAATCGTAATTTAAATTGTTGTATTTTTCATGGTTAACAATCTTTTTGATTCGTAGAAGCTGCCCATTTCTTTTAATTTCAGAGGTTCCTAACCGCACGCGTAGTTGATTAGCTTTCTTA